GACGAATTTGATGATCCATATAAATGGTGTCGAGGTGCCATGGAAGAGATTCGATGAGGAGGAAGAAGGGGCCGAAGAGATCCTCCAGGGTATTCAGAAATTGCACATCTTGCCCTGGACACCCGGAGCAGAGTGCGACACATTCCCCAATTGGCTCGCTAGGTTCCCTGCCCTCAAGAAACTAACCATTATTGGAAACCTTTTTCCGTTTTCAAAAGGGCCGCTTGTATCCGAGTGGCTCATGGAGGCCATCGAACTAGCTTGTCCATATGTTGTTGTGAAGCAAGAGAGGCGTATCTCATGATCTGTATGGTTCGTTCCGATGCCGATTCTCATTGCTACCCCACTAATATGTTGACCAGGCGATGTGTTTAGTTCATAGTTCGTTCTATTATCTATCCCTCCCACCTAATCCGTCCGGCGTGCTAAATCGCACCAAAAATCACTTTGAACCGCAACCCACTGACTGGTTACGAAGTACGGTTCCGACGTCGACACGCACCCATCCACAGCCCTTCCGGCTGCATGCTTGTGCGGCGACGTTGCCGATCGCGGGGTGAATCCCATCCTATACTTCCAAAACAAAAGCGGCATCGCCTTCGACACTTCCATCATGCCTACCAGCGAGTGTTTTCAGTTACACGGCATCCTGGCGTGCAAATATTATTCACCGATGGCCTTTCCGAAGCACACGCGAGGCCCAGATCCGAATGCGAGATTGTTGTGCTCCATCGTTCTGAGCTCCTCGGCATCTGCTTCTATCCAGCGCTCCGGCCGGAAGACCGCCGCATCGTTCCCGTATGCTTCCGGTCGTCTGTGGACGACGAATGGGCTCATGGACACCTCCGTTCCTTCTGTGAAAAAATGGCCCGCGATTGTGGCACCGCCGGCACCGACCAAGCGAGGGAGCGCCCACGGGACCTAGAAGTCCGTCAGACGATCAATACTGCCTCTATGGATATCATCTTTACCGCAGGATGCAAGCGCAGGGTTTCTTTTAGGCACGCCTGATCAGACCTGTGAGATTATGCTGTCCGCGAATATCTGCAGTATAACGCACTTGGAAATACGATAACTTGCATGCATCGCTGTATGACAGCGGGAATGTAATTGCTCCGCTGCTCACTGCATCGTCTATTTCCTCCTGGACCTTGCTGTAAATTCTGGGATCGCCGACTACGAAGCGAATCATCGCTCGCATCGTCTGTTAGCCGTCAATCCCAACTCCAAGCTAAGATCTGTTTGGCTCACTATCGCGGTTGTATCTATCGGAAGCTCTGGAATTTCAATCAGGCAAACCAAATAGGAAATCACTTGCCTGAACCGGCGCCGAGAACCAGTCCTCTAACCAGGATGATTAGATTTAATCGGGTGCGCAAAAAATATCGACATACGTTGCGGCTCTGATCTGCTGCAGGCTATATTCTGAACCATCTGGATTTCGGCAGGACATAAACCTTTCGCTTGGAAGATGTGAATACGACCTATTGAAGACGGACTGAGTATGCGACATACAGCGTATCGTGGTGGCCGGAGTTGGTCCCCTGCTCCTTGTATTCTTGGAGACGCGAATCAATGCGGCCTCTGACGATCCCAGGAATTGCTCCAGCGCTGGGAGGTTCAGGCAACCTATTGGAGTGGCGTTGAAATGAAGCAAGAACACTCGTATGGGGAAGGCGTTACTTCTTGGACAGCCACATGACAAACGGTGATACGAAAGGTTGCGTCCCCACTGAAACGCAGGACAAACATTATGAGGTTCGGCCTGGCGAAATTGTTCACTGAACGTACCCAAACAAGCGATTTCTAGGAATTTAACGAGCAACGGGAGGAGGTTGTAAGGGTCCTTTCCGATTGCACAGAACCCGAACGATTTGCCCAACTAACCAACTGTCAATCTGAGAACAGGCCAGGGAAAGTGGACCACTGACCGCCAGCTCTCCAATCACATCTATGGCGAATAATTGCAGAATCTCCGAGAGATCTACTGTTCCTTTTCCCGCATCGATGCATCGGTCCAGGTAGCCTATAAGATCGTTACAGCAGGAGTCGACGTTTTGCTCGAAGTCTGCAAGGAGCTTCGTGGCATAAGCTGGAGACTCGGCGCGCCTGATCTCCCCATGTTTCTGATTGTCTATGGTCGTAAGCAAGTTGTGGCCGTCCACGCCGCCTACGACAAGGTCATTTTGAGGGGTTGGTTGAAAAGTGAAGTGCTCACGCAGGGATTCGTAAAATCGGGTCTTTTGGAGGGGGGATTTGAATCTGTGGTATGTTGAGGGTCATTATATTCAAAACGAGCGTCCCTTTGACAAACTTGAATATTTGTTCGATGGCACCAGGACTAGAGTGGCCGTCAGAATCCAATCACAGACTCTTACGCAGGCCTCAGTACTCACTCGCAAATCGAAGCTTCGTTTCGCGCAATCCGCACGATCTTTCCATATTTCTCGTGCAGTTCCAGCAGCTTCCAGCCCTATCTTGAGCGCTTAGAAGGCAGTCCACCAGCTTTCAGTGCGGGGCTCACTATATCCAACTTTACGGCCCTCGTTGATTTCCACGACCAAAGTCCCGACCGCACCCAGATCGGACCAGGGATACGCGCGAGGGGGTGGAATAATATGTTGTAGAACGCATACATGAGGATCGCCGATGCAGCGGCGCCAAAGATTATCGCGGGATGAAAAGCCGGCACGACTTGACACAGAGTCCAAAAAGGCGCCATGGGGAGGAAGAAAGTTGCGGGTCAAGGTGAGGCGTCGACCTGTCTCTTATACCCGAACAGCTGGCATTGAATCAGTGACTATGATCTAGTCGGCTTACTGCGCTGTGTTGGTGCTGTCACCCCATAACCTCGGAAATAGTTCCTGGTCCAAAAAGGGCCGAGCGCATCCCTATTTCGCGAGTCATGGGTCCATGGGTCCAGGCTGATCGGAAGTGTTGTGATTCAATGACTAAATGCGTACTTACAGTTGCATTACTTACCACCCTTATGGATACTTGAGACTTGAGAAGAGCGAGGGTAAAGACGACTTTTATGGCAAAGCTTAAGCCTGAGGCTCGCGTAAATGTGTGAACAAAAAGTATACATCAATGTTGAACATTCATTCGACTGTTGCATTCGGCACGAACTGAACAAAAATTGGGCCTCGTGTACAACATTCAAAGTGCGGGCATCACCTGTTTATGAGAGGCGACTGGTCTAGATTAATAGGCCTAGAGAGCGGTTGAACTTATATTTCGCTCAGAGCAAGTTTAGAGAAATTTCAGTGTGCAAGACTTTAGTCGATCACTTCGGGCGGACATATACCTGACCCATATTAGGGTGAATGCCCCCACCAGAGATGACTACCCCAAAGGGGTCCCAGGCATAGGGCGGCTCCCGGTGGGTGGGAGCTCCCATCCCAAGCTGGCCGGGAGGCTCCCAGCACCAAGTTCTACGGGTGCTCCCGTGTGTTTTCTGATGACGGGGCCTCCCGTCTGCCCCCCACAGGGGGGATTTTTTCCGCGATTTTGGGCCTCCACGCAGCGTGTTTGCTGCTCCCTGGGGGGTACCTTGTAAGGAGCCTCTCTGACTTTACTCCTACTGATCCTAGGTGCATTATGCAGTGAATAGAGCATTGGTAGGCAGCCCCCCGCAGGGGGGGATTTTTTCGCGATTTTCAGGCTCTGCAGGCACCGTTTGCTGCTCCCTGGGGGGCCCTAAAAGCACCTGGGATTTGGGTTCTCTCACTCTATTTCTAGTGTCCATGGCTCCCCCCACTAGCTCCTGCCAAGGAAATTTATTGCAGCGATTTCAGATTCCAGCTCTCTGCCTATGATAGGATCTATTCATCCCACTGCTCTACCTGTCGGTGCCTGCGACCAGCCATCCCACCATATACGTGCTTCAACAACATGTATACTCACTCTTTATGTTAGTCTGAATAGACATTGTATATTCTAATGTCCAATCTGTTCAACTCCATGTACCGTCCGCAAAGTTTGGAGTGACCAGCCATCCCACCATGTATGAGCTTCAACATGTATACTCCTCTACTTTAGTATGGATGGACATGTCCAATCTGTTTAACTCCGTGTACTGTCCTTCATGTTTAGATGCTTCCAATTTGCTGTTATGGGTCATTCTGTCAAGTCCTTATGGCTCCCTTATGTATTACTTACTTGGGCGGGAGCTTCCGTTGGACAGGGTTTATGTGCTCCTGGATGCTCCCAGCTGTTATTTATCAGTTTGGTGGGAGGCCCCATCCACCTGCCCCGGAAGCTCCCGCCGACAAGGGCGGGACCTTCCGGCAACATCAGCGGGACCTCCCCACCACATCAGCGGGGCCTCCCAGGTGACTTCAGCGGGAGACCCCACCACATGCAGGGCACTCCCACCCTGAACAGCATGGGAGCTCCTGCCTCAGGGCTCTGGGAGCTCCCACCCTGGGCTATATATCCCCTGGGAGCTCCCACCTAATCACTATATGCACTGGGAGCACCCGCTCAAACTCCACATACATGCGGGAGCTCCTGCCCACATTCCACATACATGCGGGAGCTCCCGCCCACATTCCACATACATGCGGGAGCTCCCGCCCACATTTCACATACATGCGGGAGCTCCCACCCACATTCCACATACATGCGGGAGCACCCGCCCACACTCCATATGTGGTCGGGAGCACCCAGCCCCCCTTCAGCAATGTACGGGAGCTCCCGGGTATTTTCATTGGCTTACCGGGTGCTCCCATGTTGACCCCTTTTAACTTGTCTGACTTTGTGTATTTTTTACAAAATATATATATTTTTATTAGTACTACATTTTTTGCACATGTACATATGTTATTTGTTTTTTGGAGATTTATTTGTTTTTTGGAGACTCACATGTTTTTTAGGATTGTTTAAACCAGAATTGCCTTTTCGGAATGGTAGCAGTTGTTTGTATGTGGTACGATGGCAGGCTGGTTTTATTATTCATCACAGCTTAATGTAGTTTGTAATGTTGGTGACTTGTCTGGGACCTCATGGCTTAGCGGTTATAGCACCGGCTTACCTTTATGCCTTGTTAGAAATAGTTATGCCGTCGGCGTGGGTTCGAATCCCACTGAGGTCATTTTATTTCCTTTCACACAAGTCATTTTTTCTTTTCCGTATTCATCACAGTTCTCCCTTTATCTCCCTCCGACGTTTATTGCTCATCCTCAGCACCTCAGCACCTCATTTCTCAAAATCTTTTCACTAACTTAACGATCTCGCTGGCTGCCACACATGCACAAACAACCCATCGCTCCCCGAAAAGGAAGTTGTGCTCATAAGTCGCCGTTCTAGAAACAAAAAACTTAAACGGTACCGCACGCGCAAAGTGCACGCAAATAGCAATAAATTCCTGCCTGCAAACACAGAGAGACAACAAGCAATTGTGTCACAAATGAAATGTAAAATTAACATTGTAAATCACAAAACGGTATGTAAGTGGCAACTCCTGCAACAAAACAAGTCAGCCAAATCTTCCACACTCGGAGCAGGGAGGGTACCTGCGGGTAACACCGTTCAATTCCAGAAACATTCAAAGCCTTCGCCGCAGCTCTCGGTGGATGCGGCGTCGTACTGGGCACGGGAGACAGCTAATAGGATATATGAGTACGGCACAGGCGCCACCGGCAGCACACGTACTTGAACAAATTTGAGAATAACACGATAAACTCTGTGCAGACATCCAGACGCCTGGGATTACGTAACCGGGCAGAATGTTGTAGTCAAATTGAGAACCAATATCATAATGGCAAGCTAGGCAATTAATAAGGGATGAGTAGCCTCAGAAAGGTTCTGCAAGAACACTCACGATAGCAGTCGGGCACTGCGCTCGGTGCAGCTGGCGACGGGGATTGATTAGGACGACGCTGGTGGGACAGCTTATGATCAAATCCAGAGCGGGTCAAGATCGGGAGGGTTTTACAGCAGCGGCGAGCTTTGGATGCAGGAGGAGACATCTGGGCGGTGGGTAAACGGGTTGTGGGGACAGGAGCGGTACAGTTTAAGATGAAGCAGCCCCTACTTTATACCCTCCCGTGTGATGCCACCAACCTCCATTATTCTCCCACTTCGGTAATAGTCGTTGCGATCACTCGATAATTTGCTGGAGTGATCGGTGGCCTCCCGATCGCGCTCGAGAATTTTCATGATGGCCTGTCCGCCATTGTCGTCTGATTCGGCAATTATTCTAGGTGGCCTGCCATTGTCAGCCTAATCGAGTGTGGGGAAACCGCTCGCATCCCGATCCAGCTTCACCAAAAAATAAGAAATATGGTACAGATACGTCGATAGTATTATTCCGAATCGTCGCCGTCGCTGTCCGTCCCATAAGACTCATACACCTCCCGGTAGGCCCCCGCGGTATCCATCACATCCAACGTCTCGAAGTCCTCCTCCTCTGCCTCTTCCTCAGCAGCGCCATATGCATCCTCCCCACGCCCGGCTTTTCAACTCTCCAGCAGCGACGCCAGCAGCCCCTCGTCGCTTGGGCCCCATGGCATATCCCCCGCTGCATCGCCAGGCATATATTGGCACCATGTCCCGCACAAGCGCAGGAGGCGCTCCCGCCGTATGAAGAACTGATAGCGGTCCCCATCATCAGCTAAGTCGTCTTAGTCAGTAACCATCTGCTTGCGTTGTAAATAAACCGACGCACCTGCGCGACTCATCGACTCATTAACGACCGTCCATTCCTCCGCAAACCACATCCGCAACGACTCGCGCTCCTTCGCCAGCTGGTAGTCTTCCTCTTTGGATCGATCCAGCTCCAGCATCGCCTGTATCCCGCTCCGCACCGTGTCGCTGCTCAGCCACAGGGGAACCTCTTGCTCCTCCTCATCTTGCAGACCGACATCCTGCCAAATCGCGTCATCGACATCCAGCGCGTACAGCACCTTGCTTTCAATGCACTCAGGAGCCATGGCCCTGCGTGGTGCGCGTTTATGTTTGATTTCCAGGTCGATTGCGTCGCACAGCTTGTTGTAGTCGTTCTTTAAGCGTGAGATTTGGGGTTCGCGCCGCTTCATGGCTGAATCTGTGTGCACCAAAAGCTTACGCTCTGGCATGAACGCGTCAGTCTCGAACTGCGGCTGGTACTGTTATGTTGGCTGGCATACCTGAAGTTTGCTGGCGCCGGGATGATCGTTCTACTCGATCGTGCTCAAACTTCCTCGCCCGCAGACGGTCCCGGAGTCGCGTCTTGAGGGCTTGCGCATTCATGCGAAGCTCAAAGTATTTGCTTTTGCCCAGCTTCGTCAACGCGGCTCTGTTGCCAACACCCAGTGCGAGCTCTTGACGCGTCAGCCGTTCTTTGGCTTTTTTGAGGGCTGTCCGCACCGTTTCCAAGGCCACCTTGCAGTGCACAATGTCGTTGCCACTGTCGTCGTCGATAGCATCCAAGATGGCCGCCTCGCATTCCGTGACCTGGGTCTTGCGAATCGCGACCGCATCCCGCGATGCGAGCACCGCTGCTACAGCTTTCTGGCCCGCCGTTTTCGACCGACCTGAAAATGAAACAGTCAGTGCTCGTCTAGCAATACTATGCAGGCTGTTCACAGGCTTGAGGTTTCGTTTGAGCTCGCACTTGCTTCGCCCACTGCGCTCGCAGCAACGTCAGCGGGTGGCCGCACGCGTCTACTATGTCTTGAGCTTCCTGGTGTTTTGTCGCGCTGTGCAGCGTCTGTCGCCGCAGCAACTCAGCCAGCTTGAACAGATTTGCCTCGTCGGCGTGCTCTATCTGGGTGTCTAGTGTATAAAGCCGGTGATGGTACTGAATACATTATTAATATATGGTGTGTCTCCAGCACAACAGCGACTTACGCTCGAAATGCGCAAGTGCGCGATCAAGTGGCTGATCGAGTGCCAAAAGCGCTCGCAGCCCTCGCTGTTCGTAAAGCCGAAGCCCTCTCGCTTGCAAGGATGGTAGATGACTTGGCAAGCCCATTCGTGGCCGAACACGTGGAAGACAGCTACCGCTAAAGCCAGACGATCGATGTAGCGATCCAAAAAACCCCACTTACGGGCGGATCTTTCTAGTTGGCACGCCACGTCGTATAGCAGGCCGACCATTATGTTTGGGGGGAGATGCTGGAATAGGGTTTCGATGAGGAGGTACACGTAGAACTGCTTCTCCCCCGCAGAATGCATGTTGACCAGCCACAGGATACGATCATGGCGGCAAAGAAGCGCCATGAGGGCGGTGTTGTCGTAGAACTGCGTGCTGGCCTTCTCGCGTCTCTCGTCCGCTGCTTTGAATGACGACTCGCACCCGTTGAGCACCGAGGGTGGCAAAAGCAAGTCAGGGTGCTCGTAGTTATCTCCTTCGTCCTCGACCTCCACCACTGTCGCTTTACGCGCCCATTTTGCGGCCGGCTTTGTCGTGCGCACACCGTCTACGTAGTCCTCCATTTGTGTGCTCAGTTCCTCGTAGACGAAGTGTGTGGCGGGGTGAGTTTTGGGCAGGTTGACAGTCCCGGTGTTCCGCTTCTGTGTAAAGCACGCGTCAACGCAGACCAACACATCTGCACTGGGAAGAAAAACCCACGGCATCAGTCCCCCGGTCACGGTGGCAAGCGCAAGATAACATACATAACGGAGGGATCATGATTCAGGCCGCCGAAACATGCTGGGCAACGCCGACGCAAGTAATCGCTTGGCCACGTCCCAGGTGGGGGCTCCAGGAACGGATTGGGGTCCCTGGCACGTTTTTGTGTCGCCCCAGGAGTCGGGGACATCGACGGGTGGCGCGATGAGAAAAACCGTCTGCTGTGACGCCCTTGATTTTCGGTAGGCGGCGAGTGCGTGGGCATGGGCGTTGGGGCTGGGGCCGGTTCCTGCTGCGGAGCCGTAGGGGTGACATTGTCATCCGAGTCGTTATTCGAGGTTGCAGCATCGAGGAAGTGATAGCGCTGGATGCGCTCGAGCGTGTCGTTGTAGTGTTGATCGACTTGGTGGCGCAAGTGCGTGTACCACTCCAACGCGCTCCCGAACAGCTTTCTAATCAACCCCTGGTAGGTGGCCCAGTGAGCTTTTACAATCCGACTGTGGCAGACGGTGACGCACCTCGTTAGCCATGCTGAACCCCAGCCCACTCAAGAAACTCTCAATTGTTGCGCACCACGCCGTATTGTTGGGGGCGATCCGGACAAATAGCTTCATCGCAAACTCCAACACCCGCATATCGACCGCAAAGCGCGGGTGCAGCGGCGCTGATGGAAACAGCCCCACGGCAAGCAGCTGCTGGGGTGCCGGGGCGCACTCACAGGTCCAAGTAGTGATATCCATAATCTCTGTGATGCAGTCAGTATATGTCACGATACACAGCGCAACTGGCTTACTGGTGAACTGTAAAACAGAAATTTCAGCCCTGATTGATTGCCCGCACCCACATTCCTCCCTGTTTGGCAGGACCAGATGGTCGGTGTCCCGCAGACAATGGGTCTTGTGCCACAGCCGCGCAAAGGGCGTGATTAGGTGCGGGATCACATTCAACTGCCACGTCGTGCCCTGTGATGCGACATTCTCCCGGTGACGCCTCTTCCTCGGCGAGTTGTCACACCCCTTCCGCGGGGACAAGGGTGTGGTGTCGACCTGGTCGTCGTCAAAATTGTAGTGGCCCAGGTCGTCGGATGCCAGCAAGTCGTCGCAGACGGTCAGGACGTCGGAGAAGAGGTGGGGATAGGAAGAGACGGGCACCAGCCGCTGGATGAGGGTGCAGTTGTTTGCCAAGTAAACCAGGGGCTCTTGGCCTGCTTTGGGTTTTTTGAGGTAATGGGCATTGCATTGATAAGCCGGCCCTGTGACCAGCGGTGAAATCTTTCGATTTTGCTGTTCTAAACAGGTGCTTCATATAGAATAATGGCTATATCGCTCACTATGAGCTAGGATAAGGTCCGAGTTGCTAGCTAAGGATATACACATGTGCGAGTAGTCCTATTGCTTACTTGGGAATGACGGCCACCATAATGGGTCAGATTTGCCAAGCAAAGTACTAGTCTATTAGCTAAAGGTGTTCTTACCATCCTTAACCAAGGGATTGGGAACGTCCTGCATGTATCCTATCAAGGACATGTCAATGCACTC